CCGCGGACCCCGCGCAGCCCCGCAGAGACGCGCGTGTCGCCCGCACGGCGCCGGCACCTGGTCGTCCCCGCCGCGGGCGCCCCAGAAGCCCGCACAGCCACCGCGGTGACGGTCCCAGCCGCCGGCCCAGGCTACACCCCGCTCTGTCCATCAGAGCGGCCCCTCCCCCACGGCGCCCGTGAGAGTCTGGGGGATTCTCCGGGGAAGCCCTGTGGGAGGGGCGGGTGGGGCTGGGGGCGCCCAGTGGAGCAGGTGCTCCCCGCCTCCCCCAGGCCCCTAGGCTCTCATTACCTGCAGGCGGTACAGGCCGCACTTGGGGCTCGACAGGTTCCCCTCCCTTCCCCACCCCCACCGGATCTTCTGTCTGGGCAGTGGGGACTCCTGGACTCTGCCCAGCCTTGGGAGCTGCGGGATGCGGATGGGGGTGAGTGTCTGCGCAGCCTTGTGGCTCCACATCCCGGAGGCGTTAGCACAGAGAGACCTGTGTCCACATCACCCAGAGACAAGGGTCCCACCCTCCTAGTGAGATGCAACATGGAGTCAGTCACACAGCCATTAGTCTAATGTTTATGGACTGGGCTGCGTGAGTGTGCTGCAGGTCTCTGGGCGGTGTACACCCAGACCATAATGAAGCACCCTGTCCTTGAGGAGGAAAGGACACTGATCCAAAACAGAATCCTGGTGGTGGAGGGCTGAGGGGCACAAAAGGGGCTTCTGGTCTTGATGCCTAAACAAACCTTGGGGTGGGCAGATGGGGGCAGCCAGTGCAGGGAACAGGGGTGAGCTGTGCGTCAGGCTGGGGACCGCCAGATCAAGGGTCTGAGTGGAGGAGGTAGAATACCAGACCAAGTCCCCCTTTCTTCTGTATACTCCTTCTGCCCCCCCCCATTTCTAAGGACACCTAGGCATCATACTACCTTTTGCATAAAACAAGAGGGAGAGGGTCCCCCTGCCACCCTGGCTTCACAAACAGATCCCCGTCCACTCTTGGCTCCTTTGCCCCTGAGTATCTTGCGTGGACAAAGCCTCCCTACCCCCACCAGAGCCCAGTCAGGGGACCGTGTTATGATTCCCCCACCTGTACCCCCAAAACTTCTGCAGAGGAGGGCCATGGGTGCTAGGGGACACATGGGCTTGGTGTCCATCCCCCTTGGAGTTCCACCTGTCCACAATCTTTCCAAGGCAGGATTCCCTCATTTCTGCTGCCCTTTCCCCGGGGGTGGGGATGGGGGGTAGTTGGTCCAGAAGCCACTTGTTGAGGCTGGGGACAGCTATGGCCTCTGGTGGCCCTCAGCTTCTGTAGATACCCACCCATCCAGAAAGGACCGTCAGGCCTGGGACCAGCCTGACCCCACCTGTGTGGGTGGGGATGGTTGGGAATTCACTGGGATCTAAGGAAGGATGGTACCCTGATAGAGGTAGCCCCCAATCCGGTCCCCCTGCCCCAGCTCATCCTGGACCTGGCCTTGTCAGCAGTAGAAATGGATCAGTCTAAGGCTGTAAGCCAAGGGCCACCCCCATCTATCCTGCCCTGTCCCCAGCACCCCCAGAGGGAGGAGAGGAACTCTATTTCCAAAAAAGCAGAAATAGACCTATTTGAACTTCTTAAAAATGGGGGCGCCTGGGTGGCTCAGTTGGTGAAGCGTCTGCCTTCGACTCAGGTCATGATCTCGGGGTCCTGGGATCAAGTCCCATGTGTTTGGGCCCCCTCTCAGTGGGGAGTCTGCTTCTCCCTGTCCTCCGCCCCGG